GGAACCAGGGGCTCCGCCGGGGAGATCCGGCAGGCAGGGCGCGGCCGGAGTGAGGGGACCGGTCCGGCTCCCTGGGAAGCAGCCCCTCCGGCGAGGTGGCCCTTCCGCCTCAGGACCGCCAGCCCCAAACCTGCCTCCCTACAAAGCGGCCAGACGCCGGCTCGATCGTCCGCCCGACCAGCTCCGCGGGGCCTCCCTCTCCTCCTCCTCCCCCCCCTCCTGGCGGTCCGTCCGTCCCTCCGCCCAGCCGCCGCCTATAAAAAGCAAAGTCCGACGGCCATCGAGAAGAGTGACGCGAGCCCAGGGAGGTCCGCCAGAGGCGCAGCGCCAGACAAGAGGGCAGCTTCGCCCGGCGGTGTCGGGCAGCAGCGGCAGCGCCGCTCGGGGACTCGGCTTGCGCGCGATCCAGAGCAAGGCGGGCAGGCGGTCAGCCTCGGCGCCGCTTGCGCGGGGATCGCCGGCCATGGAGGTGAGCGGGCCGGCGCGTTCCTTGCCGTCGAGCGACCCGGGCGACCTGAGCAGCCAGGACGCGCAGACGGTGTGCGAGGCGCTGGGCCGCTACGAGGAGACCTTGCGCGGGGCCGTCCGGGAGATCCACGTGGACATCCAGGCCTTCAAGACCGGCGTGGACCGGCAAGTGGCGGAGGTCCTGCGCCTGGCCACTCCGCTGAGCCACACGGTGGCCGATTTTCTTCCTTAACTTCTAGTGTCAAAAGAAGACCTCCATGGAAAACTAAAAATGTCTTGACAATATAGAATAAAATACTTATACTTTGACATCCAGAGATCGGGTCTTCCTTTTTTTTCTTTCTTCTGGCAAATACCTGCCAGATTTGGTTTATCTCATATACACTACCTCAGAATGATCATTTGGGCATCTGAGGCAAGGAATCTTATGTACTTCCCTCTTTTCCTGATAAATTTTACCTGAGACCATCTGTGTGATTTAATCTCCAACTCTGCCTAATGGTTGGGCGGGCTCCAGAGTTGTGCCTTTTTACTGTATTTCCAGAAAACATTGGCTGCACAGAAAAATCCAGTCTTATAAATCTGATTTTGCTTTCAGATTGGTATCAGTGGCTGCATCCTCTGTTCACGGAATATTGGCTTAGTCTCAAGGACAAGGTTGTGACCAGAAGTACAAAGGAAGGCTAGCACTGAGCTAGGTATTGCACATATACAGCTGCTGGGAAAAGAGCAGTCTTGCTTCTCTTCCTCCCATTCCACTGTAATATAAAAATAAAGCTACAGTCACATGTGACACAACCTTGTTGTGCCCCCTCTCCCTTTTGGGAGCTCTCTCTTGTGGCAAACAGAATCACATGGCAGCTTCCTAATCACATGAGCAGACTGTAGCTAAATGGATTGTTACTCACATGGTTTCCTTTTGATCACCAAACCACCTATCCTTATTTCAATGGAACTACAGGCATGCCAAGGAAGAGATGCCCCTCCATGTATCAACAAGAAGGCACATGGACTTTCAGCACCAGCGGAGCAGGACTGCAACCACTTTTCCCATGCCCCCATGGGAAAGCCTGGCCCAAGCCATCCTGCAGCCCTGCAGCCTGTGAAAATGCAGCGGGGCTGGAGGATCCCTTTGATCCTGCTTTGATCCCTTTCCTCTTCTTCCTATGTCATGATGTCAAGCCATCCCCCAGCCCTGGGGGTAGGTTTCCCTTTGGACAGGCTTTAGCAAGTTGCCCGCAAGGAAAACCCCTCTGCTTATGCCCCAAGGAACAGCTGATCTGTGGGGGCATAAGCAGGTAGGGAATGAAGGGAAAATATAAAAGGGTTAAATTCATTGCTTCATATTCACCAGGATCTCTGGACCCCAAGAACAAGAAGCAATGAATATCTGATGAATCAGGGATATTGGTTGAATATCCTGATTCATTTTTATATTCGTCCCTATGTCTAATCACCATATCCTCTCTGAGATTAAACCTTCTTTTGAAAAGATGCAAATATTTGTTAGGAGGGCCGTCCTCGGGGCCCGTCATGGGGCCGCGCGTTCCGTCGGCGGCCGCCGCCAGCGCTGAACGGCCAGTGCCAGAAACGCAGGCTCCCAATCGCCTCTTCCAAGCTGGCCCGCAAGGGAGCCGCTCCCTCTGGGCCGCCCCTTCCTCGCTCTCTGCCGCAACTCTTGGGGCTCGCGGAGGAAAGAGGGCCCGGGCTTTAGCTGTCCAGCCGATGCTTCCGGCTGTCAAGCGCCGCCCGCCTGAGAGGGTCTGCTTGGACTGGAAGGAAAAGACAGGAGGACCCCTGAGCACGTGCAGAGAACTTGCCTCGAGGTGGAGGCTGTGGTTGCTCTGTGTGGGGAGGGAGGTCTATTCTTTTGCTTCTCATGCGCTTCACGCATGAAAGCCAATACCAAAAGCTGTTTCTGGAACTGGCTCCTTAGGTGGCCAGAAGCAAAGGGTGGCAGATGGGTTAGAGACGATCCCTGGGGTAGCTCCAGATCCTCCGTTCAGGGATCTGGTGAAAAGGAAGGAAGCAGGCTGGCAGCTTCCGCTGAGGCTGGCGCAGGAATGGACTTGAGGTCTGTTCTCCGGACCTTTAAGGAAGGAGCGACCGCTTGCCAAGCCCCAAAATAGACGGAGGAGGGGGAGGCCTCTTTGCTCAGGACGTGATGTCCTGCCTCCCGCAGAGGAATCATCCCCACCAGGATTTCTCAACCCGGGTATCAGATGGAGAAGCTGCTGCTCTTGGTGGCACCTGCTGACTTCTCTTTGCTGCCACCCGAGAAGCTGAGAGCCTGGGCCTTCAGGTCCCCCAGGGATCTGGGCTTTAAACATTGGCCCCAGCGAGACGCTGGCTCACAAGGAGCCCTGGCAGGCCCCTGGCAATCATCCAGTCTTGTGCCCGGCAGGTTCGGTGCTCCAGCTCACCAGCCACAGCTGAAGGACCCGAGCTGCTCTCTCTGCACCCCTGATGCTGGCTTTCTTGGACCCCCTTGCCCGCTCGCCAGCTTCTCCCTCGCATCGCCTTTTCTTCGGTTGGCTGCGCCGGAAAAGATGTGGGCACAGAGCTGGTTGGGAACGCTGGGGAGACAGGAGCATCCACAGACCCTCACCCCTTCTCCTCTCCAGGACCATCCATGCGGGCATGGTGATGGCGAGGGGGGGTTGAACACACACATCTCCACACCCGAGCCTGCTTCAGTTTGTCCTGCGGAGACTCTAGTTCCGACAGAGGGATTGGCATCAGCAAAAAGGGGACTTTTCCCCTGGGCCCCTTCTTCCTAGTGCATGATGCAAATCACCCAGCCAGGAAGAAGCCCAGCTGCTTTGCAAAGTTGCCTTTCAGCCTCGGGCACAGATCTGGTTCTTCCTGGAGAGTCAGTCCCCCTCACTGTCCAGCGGTGTGTGTGTCTGCATTCCCCCTGCTGTCCTGATGGAGTTTTGTGTTCCTCCAAGCCGACCCTGGCGCAGGGTTCTGAGTCCAAGCCAGCCGACTGGGTCTCTCCTTCCTGGGAAAGGAAAGGCCCAGCCAGCAGCAAGCAGCTCCTGCCTTTCTGTCGAGATGATGAATGGCTTTCGTGTGGCGGAGCAGCCGCATCGGCTTAGGTTACAGGGAGGGGGAGAAGCAAGCAGAGGCAGACAGCTGGGGCAAAAGAGGGTGGGAGCCTAGAAGCAGGGGCTTGTTCTCCCCGTCCTCTGCTGCAGGTCTGGCCACATGGGGATGCTCGCCCTCCCCAAGTTCACGCTGGTGCAGAAATGTCCCCTTGGGAAGGAAAGGGTACCATCCTCACTAAGCAGGTGCAGGGAAGAGGGGAGGGCACAGCTGTATCAGCAAAGGCTGGTCTGCTCTTGGTCTTTCTTGTAGTTCCTCTGCATGGCTTCCTTCTGCCTCCAATGGCCTTTCTGCTGTCCCTCTGCTTTGAGCCAAGGTGCTGGATGCATATCCGCGCTTCCAGCGGCCCCTCTCCTCTCCCCTTGGAGACGGCTTTCTCCACTCCAAATCTCTCTCCTCCTTCCCAGCTTTCTGGATGCTGCACAGGGTGGGGTGGTGGTGGGAGGTCTCGCTCTCCTTACCCATCCTTGACCACCCTCCCCAAGTTCACGCTGGTGCAGAAATGTCCCCTTGGGAAGGAAAGGGTACCATCCTCACTAAGCAGGTGCAGGGAAGAGGGGAGGGCACAGCTGTATCAGCAAAGGCTGGTCTGCTCTTGGTCTTTCTTGTAGTTCCTCTGCATGGCTTCCTTCTGCCTCCAATGGCCTTTCTGCTGTCCCTCTGCTTTGAGCCAAGGTGCTGGATGCATATCCGCGCTTCCAGCGGCCCCTCTCCTCTCCCCTTGGAGACGGCTTTCTCCACTCCAAATCTCTCTCCTCCTTCCCAGCTTTCTGGATGCTGCACAGGGTGGGGTGGTGGTGGGAGGTCTCGCTCTCGTTACCCACCCTCTAATTGACCAAGGCAGCTGCTAACCAGCAGCTTTCGTAGAAGATCCCTCTGCATTTCAGCAGCCCCTAGTGGGACTCACACAAGCGACTGCTGGATCAAAGTCATGTTTCAGAGACAGCCAGGCCAGAATGACAGCTTGTGCTTCTTGAGGTCAAGCACAGAATTAAAATATGCATCTACAAAGCATTTCCCTAACCCTCTAATTGACCAAGGCAGCTGCTAACCAGCAGCTTTCGTAGAAGATCCCTCTGCATTTCAGCAGCCCCTAGTGGGACTCACACAAGCGACTGCTGGATCAAAGTCATGTTTCAGAGACAGCCAGGCCAGAATGACAGCTTGTGCTTCTTGAGGTCAAGCACAGAATTAAAATATGCATCTACAAAGCATTTCCCTAAATGTGAAGCCATCATATGTTAGTTTCCAAAGGGACATCTATGTTAGTCTCTCTCAGCTTGTTGGCCAAACTAAAGCGGGGCAGGTAGGTCAAAGTATTTTGGCCCTTTAAAAACTAATACATTTGTTTTGGAGTGAACTTTCATTGATAAAAATCCACTTGTCTAGACATATTATATTCCTGTTCTTTCCAAGCCAGATTGTGCCTTTGAAAGGAACTTGTGGGTCTCTTTAAACAGACTAAGTTCCTTTTGGTTGAGGAGCTGTTTTTCCTGTACATTGCCTTTACTGGACACGGAGTACACGTCCCTTGTGAGAAATGCACACACAGAGCCAGCTTCCTGTCTTGCACCTTCACTTTTATTGATCACTTTATAAACCGTTCTTCTTTTCATGCAAAGAAACAAAACACAATTTCACAAGTTAAAACCATTTTGAAATTGCCACAAAAACACACCACAGAGCTGTAGCACAGGGAGGAGTTTGTGATGTTACAAGCACTGGCCAGCCAGTGCTGGGCACTGGCAGAACGAACCATGCTCGGCTCTGCCTTGGGAGAGTAGCCTGTGGTGGGTGCACTGATGCTCCAGGTCGGAGCATTAAAGTTTTCAGCCATGAGCGTTTCCTTTACACACTTGCATTGCAAGTTGGTGCAAAAGATGCAGGAAGCACATAGCATCATCCTTCTTGTGCAGGAAATGTCTTCTGCTCCATGCATCACTACCTGGGCTTCTTCCTGCCTTGAAACAAACCAAAGCCAGCCCTGCAGAGCATGACCCTGGACCCAGCAGCCCCTGTCTGGCTGAGCTCCCCACTAGGGCTGTAATCTAGGAGGATCATCTTTTCTGAAGTGCAACAGAGACCATCTCTTAACACTGGCTGGGCAGCCCATAAACAACAGCTGTGTTTTTTCTCCTGGCGGGCAAGGCATCTGAGGGCTGGCTTTGGGAGGCAGGGAGAGGCTTGGTCTCTGGCCAAGTGTCGCCGTGGCCAGAGAGGGTCACCAGCCAGTGCACGGTGAGGGATGGCCCCTTCATGTCCCTCTCTGGTGTTTTCTGCTGGCCAGCACCCAGGGGCTCAGAACTGAAGCCCACAGAGGAGAAAAGGGAATGGGGAGGCAGCCAGTGGACTTTGCCCGTCAGAAAACAGATCCCATTCCTCTCCAGTATCTCCAGGGCTGACGGCCTGGGTTTAGATCACAGCTCTTTGGGGGTGTAACCTGGAGAGGCAGAGAACGGGCCCCTCCACCTCTCCAGCATGTGTGTGCCAGCAGGCATGGGCTTCTTCTCATGCAGCTACTTAGAGTCTCTGCTGAGCTGATAGCCAGCAAGGGGAAGGCCAGCCGCTCAGCATCCAGGGCTGAAGGAGAGGCGAGGACCACGGAGACGAAGGCAGTTCTCTGTGGGGCCAAGTGAGAAGAGGCTCTGCCAGGCCATGCACCTGGCAGGGAGCAGAAGGCCTTTTGTGGGGCTGGGGGGCTGAAGCCTTCTCGAACTGGAGGGTGGCTGCTCAGCTCACCTGAACCCTGGAGAAGGCCAGCTGGCCAGGTTTGGCAAGGGTGTGGGGATCTCTTGCATGTCATTAAACATCCACAAGTGAAGAAACATGATGTGGATGCTCCACTCACCCCATTGATTGGGACAAGAGGAGTTGAGAAACTAACAGCCCCCCAAAACACACACACACACACACAGGTACAGCAGAGCCTTGTGAGGGGCTGGGGGCTCCTTCCTTCCCTCCCTCCAGCAACCCCAGACGGAAGCTGCTGACTCCTTCCTTCCCCCATTCCTGACCCACAGCTGCCTTCTCCCCTTGCTTTCGCAGAGTCTGGACTTTGAGGAACGGAGCCATCGCGTCTCCAGGGCCAGTACCGAGAACGGGCACCAGCCTCGTGGAAGGGCGAGGGAAGGGCAGGAGGAGAACGGTCCAGGTGGGAAGTTGTTTGGGGTGTGTTGTCTTCCTCGGAGGAGAGCTTTGGGTTCAGGCGAGCCTTTCTGGGGCATCATAGCACCGGTAGATCTCTTATGGGGAGGGGTGTGTGGGTCCGCTGCTTTCCTGCCCTCCCTCTCTCAAGAGATGGGAGCAAAAGGTCCCCGGGCGGGGGGGAGGGCTTTGGATTTGAATCACGTTTGACTCCTGACAGAACTCAAAGCTGCTTCGAACCTCTCGCTTGTTCCTCTCCTTAGGTCTGGGCTGGCACTCCCAGGAAGCCGCCCCCGCCTCTCCCCCATCTCCTCCAGCGTCGGCTGCTCCCCTCGAGGCCCACGCGCCGGCCGTGTCCGCCCGGATGCCACACCTCCCGGTGACCGCGGTGACCCGGGTTTCGGAAACCTTTTCCGGGGAAACCGTCAGGTCGCCGGTCTCCCCCACCTCCCCAGGGGGGCCCCTGAGTGATGGTCCCGGCGAGGCTGAGCCAAAAGCATCCCCCAACCAAGCAGGTGAGAAGGGTCTTCCCCACCACCATCTTATGGCTTCTGCTCCCGGCAGTGGCTGCTGCTGTTCTGCTTCAGCCTTTCCTGACCTGCCTCCGTTGCAACCCTTTCCTTCCCCAGCAGGCAGCAGAGAGCAAACCCGCAGGCGGAAATCTCTCATGCTGCCTCCTCAGGCAGAGACCCCTCTGTCCGTCCATTCAACAGCAGAGAAGAGCAGCAGCTGCTTTGCTCCAGGCGGCTGGCAGGCTGCCTGCGGGCTTTTCTCTCGTCTTCCCGAAGAAATCCCAAGAAGAAACACAGTGGCCATCGGGGGCGGGGGCATCTTTTTCTACTCAATTCTTTATCATTCTCTTTCCTTCCTTTCTTCTTCCAACCAACCGGGAAGGTTCAAGCCCTGTGAGGAACTGGAGCGCAAGTTCCACGCGGACGACGAGCACCTCCCTCAATGCAGGTCAGAGGCTTCCTGAGATGCACTCTATGCCCCTTGGCTCAACGCTTCTAGATGCGGCCGGTTGATCTTCATGGAAGGTCAAGGGGGGGGGGAACGGCATTTGGGCAGGAGAGCTGTAGGACCAGTTATTCCATTCCAGAACCAGGCAGACTTTTCCCAGCCTTAAGACGTCTAGCAGGGGTGGTTAGCAGTGGGGATGGGTAGAACCTCCAGGTCAAAGGGCAGTCTAGCTTAAGGTGCCGGAGGGAGATCCAAGCTGGGTTTCGCTGCTTTAGGTGGAGGAAGCACGACAAGATGAGCTGATTACTCCCTTTCTCTTTCTGTGCAGAGCTGTTCTCCTCTGTGACAAAGTCTGTGTCCAGCGTGAGCTACGAAAGGTGAGCTCACACAGGGCAGCTACACCTGGGGCTGGCGGTTGCCAGCATCACATGCCACGCCAGGGAGAGAACGGTGCACCGACGGTCTCCTGTGCAGCCGATGCAGTGGATTCACCCCCTCCTGCTGCGTAGATCCCGTGGAACGTTGTCTAAACATCTCCCTTTCCTATGTAGTGCCAGCCGGCAGGGGTTGGCCCCACAATCCCACTCCCCACCTCCGGCAGTCCAGCCCCGGCCAGCAGAGAAGCGGAAGGAGCTGGTGAGGTCTCAGACGCTGCCCCGCACCTCTGGGGCCCAAGCCAGAAAGGCCCTCTTTGAGAAATTCGAGCAGGACACTGGGACCCTGCCTGCCGCTCATCCTTAACGAGAAGGTGGCTGCTGAAGGTGCTCCATGGGAGGTATCTATTCGGTGGGTACGTTTGAGACTCTGACCTTCTCCGATTCTTCACCCAGGGGAAAAGGCGAGGGCCGGCCGAAGCTGAAGAGGTCCCAGAGCTTTGGGGTGGCGAGCGCCAGCAGCATCAAACAGATCCTCTTGGATTGCTGCCTGCCGCTCATCCTTAACGAGAAGGTGGCTGCTGAAGGTGCTCCATGGGAGGTATCTATTCGGTGGGTACGTTTGAGACTCTGACCTTCTCCGATTCTTCACCCAGGGGAAAAGGCGAGGGCCGGCCGAAGCTGAAGAGGTCCCAGAGCTTTGGGGTGGCGAGCGCCAGCAGCATCAAACAGATCCTCTTGGATTGGTGCCGCTCCAAAACCATCGGCTACAAGGTGGGTAGAGCTGCCCCCACCTGATCCTGCCCCCGCCGCCACCTCCTCTCCTTCCCTCTGCTGCTTGGGGCCGACCCCCCCCGGCAGGCGCTGCCCTGCCCCGACTTGGCACCCGACCTTTTCCGCGTCAGGATGGCCCCCCCCGAACACCAGCCTTTGCCTTCCAGCACATCGACCTGCAGAACTTCTCCTCCAGTTGGAGCGATGGGATGGCCTTCTGCGCCCTCGTCCATTCCTTCTTCCCCGAAGCGTTCGACTACCAGGCCCGGGACCCCAGCAAGAGGAAGGAGAACTTCGAGACGGCGTTTTCCGCAGCCGAGTAAGTGGGTTTTGGGGGGGGCTGCTTCAGTGATTCCTGCAGGCCCCCCCAGGTGCTCTGGGTGCAAGAGGGCAATTTGTGTGGCTTATGCCTAGCAGAGGGAAAGGTGTAGAAATCGGGGGCCCTGGCCCGCCGGAGCTTCCTTTCCGGGGTGGTGGGGCGGTGGGTCTTCCTTCGGCGTCCGCCCTGACTTGACCTTTGGCCCTCCTTCCCTAGGAAAATGGCCGGCTGCGACCGCTTGATCGAAGTGGAGGACATGATGGCCATGGGCCGCAAACCGGACCCCATGTGCGTCTTCACCTACGTCCAGTCCCTCTACAACCACCTCCGGCGCTTTGAGTGAAGCCAGGCTGGGGCGCTGCAGGAGCGGGGCCCCTTGCCCGCAGTGGCTTTGGCACTCTCACCCGTTGCCCTCGGGTGCCTGGCATGGGAGCATGACCCCTGGAGTGGCTCAGAGGGCGTGCCCTGAGCCGAGGGGAGACCGAGGGGCAAGCAGCTATGGCCCCTCGTCCCAGGTCCTGGGGGTGGCTTCTGCAGGTTCCCCTCCAGTGGCCACTGGGGGAAAACCGCTTCTCTCCCTTCCACTCCCAAGGTCCCCATTAAGGGGCAGCTCCCCACGGGGCCCTGCTTGCTTACGATCCGGCAAGGGCGACGGAGCGAGCAGCCCCATCAGCGCCCGGTCCCTTCAAAGGATGCCCTGATGGCTGAGCAGGAGAAGAAAGGTGCTCACTTTCCATCCATCTTCCTTCCTGCCTCAGGTGGACATCTGCTGGGGGTGGGCAACGGGGAGCCCGAGGTTGCTGGCCTGTGACTGGGGGTGACGGGAACCAGGTTCCACAGCAGCTGAGAAAGGGGCTGAATTTTGCTCCCCCCCCCTCACAGTAGGCCAGCTGGGCCACAGGTACCCAGCTGAGTTTACAACCGCCAGAGAAGGTACCACATAGATGCCTCTGGCCTTGCCCCCACTAGATAAAATTAAGCCCAGGCATACATTTGCATACATTTTTCTGGGAAAGACCATGGAAGGGACACCCCTCTGTGGCCCCGACCACCTTTCTTCCATTTGGAGATCCCCATCCCCCTTTAAAAAAGGGGGGCCAGTGGCATCTCATTCCCCCCCACCTCCAGCTTTGCAAAACAGGGCTTCCTGGGCAGCAGGATTCTGCGCCAAACCCAGAACGGCTGCCCACTGCCCCCACCCTCACATACGAAAAAAGTACCACACACTCCGAGGGGGGAGGGTTGGGAGGGAAGGAAACCCTCATCGCAAAACCCCCAAGGATATGTTTTTTAAATCCCGGATCATGTCAGAGGGCTGTATATCACGGAGAAGAAAAGGAACTCAGCACATGCTCAGAGGCACAAGGAGTAGCACAGCCATCCGCTGTTTAACAACTGGCGGGGGCTGGGTCCCAAGCCGAGTTACACCTGCCTGGGGAAGAGGGCTGTATATCACGGAGAAGAAAAGGGACTCTGCACATGCTCAGAGGCACAAGAAGTAGCACAGCCATCTGCTGTTTAACAACTGGCAGGGGCTGGGTCCTGAGCCGAGTTACACCTGGCTGGGGAGGTGGCCACACTGGCTGGGGGAATTCTGAGAGCCAGAATTCCTCTCCCCCCCCAAAAAAATTGGAACGTTCCCATCCATAAGAGTTCTCAGCCAGCACTAGCCCTCCAAGCCAGCCCTCATTTCTGGGGGTGGGTCCTCCCACATCCTCAAAATCTGCTACGTGATCCCCACCCCCACCCCGGCTTCTCAAAGAGCTGCTGCACCCACTGGAGACCACGGTGACCCTCACACACCGCAACCACAACCTTGCCCGGGCCAGTCAAAACTTTCTGTCTGTGGGGAATGGCTCCTTGCTGATCTCTTAAAGGTGTCTGTATAATTCTTATATATGAATAAAAAAAAAATAAGTGAACGAGGTGATTGCAAATCTCTCTCTGTAGATGCCCCAAGGGGGCCGGATTCTCCGGGTCGGTGGGTGGGTGGTTTCCTTTCCATCCAAGGATTCCGCTGGGGCCACACCTGTAAGGCTTCGGAGTGCCTTAACCATCGCTTTTGCTGCCTGGATGGAGGTCGGAGCACCTGAAACCTGGGGGGGGGGTCTCTTCCAACACGGCACACTTCCCATGGGGTTCAGGTAGCCTCTCGCACACGTGGTCGCCCCCCCTCTAAGTCCGGGCGGGGGGAGATTGACTTTGCAGCTGTCCCTCCAGGCCCGGGAGGAGGAGAGATCCCGGAGGCAAAGGAGGCGAGGATACCCCCTCCTGCCCGCCGGGGACTGCCACGGGGAGGTGGTGGTCTCCTTTTGCAGGTGAGGCCCTTGGGGGATGGGTTTTTCCCCCCACCCCCGAGATGGAGTGGGGGCAGTTGGAACCCCGCGGAAAGGGGGAATCCCTCCCAAACAGCTGCCCGCTCCCCTCCGGGGGCCACCCAGCGACTTACCTGGTCCGTCTCGCCGGCCGCTGCTCCTGGGCTGGGGCGGGGAGCGACGTCACCTCGACCGCAAGCGCCCGCCACGCCACGGGGGAGAGAAGGGAATTCAGACGCCCCGCGGGTCTCCGAGACCGGCGCACGTGTCGCTTACCCCCTAGAGTCAGACACGACTGGACAAATTGTCAAGGGGAACCTTTACCTTTACCTAACCTTGTTCCTTGTCTTAACCTTTCAAAGACCTCCTAAGACCCTTATCCTTAACCCTAAAACGTCTGTTACTCTATGAGTTCAGGAAATATTCCCCAGAAGTTACCTAGTGCAAGTTTCTTCTTATTCTTTTTAACCTACTTGGATGAAAGTTAAAACCGCACCCTCAAGGAAAATACAACACCCTTCCTCAGTGCAAAAGGGGGGGGGAGTGCGGAAGAGGAGACGCCTCGGGCCGGGCTCGTGGGTGGGGGGTGTCGGAGGACAGGCTTCTCCTTGGGCGGCGTGAGATTTGCAGCAGCCCCCACCCGATGCAAAGAAAAAGGAGGGGCGCCTCTGAGCGCGTGCAGAGTGCACGGGAAACCCACGCGGCCTCTCTTTGATCCAAGCGTGGGCACCGCCTTTGAGCCTCTCCGGGGGGTGGTTCTCCAAGGGTCTCTTCCCCCCCCCAATCCAGGGCAGCTCCACATTTCACATGTCTCTCTGGACACGTGTATTCTGCTCCTCTGCACCCTCGTCCACCGCCTTCTAGTGGGAGGGGGCTTCTTAAAAGCCCCTGGGCAATATGGGGGAGGGGCTGAACTCTGGAGCCCCCTTAGCTGCCCCCTCCCTGGGGACCCCATCGTGGGCAGAGCAGTCAGGTTCAGGGCTGGGGGGCGGCGGCTGAAAAGAGCCAGAGAGAGGCCCCAAAGAGTAAAGACAAGAGGGGTGGGGGGGTCTCCCCATCTCAGGAGGGGGGGCAGAGGCTCAGCCCCTTTCCACGCTGACCCGGCTCTGTCCCTCACCCGTTGCCTTCCTAGAACGATCCAGGAGCCACCATGGCCAAGCTGATGCAAGCGCCCCCCAAGTTCTTGCCCCCCGAGTGGCACATCGCCAACAAGGCCCAGTACAGCGGGGCTGAGGCCCAACGGTCCCGCTCCGAGCGGCTGGTGGATGAGAGTCAGCGCCTGGTGGACGAGACCGAAAGGGCGACCCAGAAGTCCCAGAGCGAGGTCAACAAACGGCTCGGTAATAATGGAGGGCCTGAGGTGGGAGCCCTCGTACGAAAAAGAACTTTTCCTGTGACGGTGTGGTTCCCCTTGGGAGCCAGAATCCTGTCTTTTACTCAGGTTTCTCCACTGAATTGTCCCACAATCATGTTGGTGAAAGGGTCCTCTTCTGGGGGTCCAGAAGACAGCCGGAGGGAGAGACCCCCACATTTTTGGGAGGTGTCGTCTTGATTTGTCTCCTTCTCCGTTGGACAGAGCAAGCCCTTGTCTTCTCTCTCCTGCAGAGCAGAGATTAGGGGAGCTCAAATTCTGGAAGCAGCAGCTGGACGACAAACTCGACCAGATTGCCAAGGAGACGGAGGTGCTGCTGGCCTTCCGGACCCGGCTGGAGAAGGCCCTGGAGGGCTGCAAGGGGCCCCTCCTGATTGCGCAGGAGTGTCTCCTCAACCGGTGAGAAGGCCAATGGATGAGGAATACAAATAATCCGATGATGTGACGGACAAAGTCCGTCCTTTATATCACCCTTTGTATCACAAAAGGAAATACAAGGACAATAAGAGGAATAAGGTGTTTCTCTGGGCAGAGATCAGCCCGGTGCAATGCTCAAACTTAGGTAAAGGTTCCCCTTGACATTTAGTCCAGTCGTGCCCGACTCTGGGGCGCGGTGCTCATCCCCGTTTCCAAGCCATAGAGCCAGGGTTTGTCCGTAGACACTTTCGGTGATCATGTGGCCAGTGCAACTAGACACGGAATACCATTACCTTCCCACTGTAATTGTACCTATTTATCTACTTGCATTTTTACATGCTTTCAAACTGCTAGGTTGGCAGGAGCTGGGACAAGCGAGTGGATTGGATTCGATCTTACGATGGCTGGTCTTCTGACCTTGCAGCACAGAGGCTCCTGCGGCTTAACCCGCAGGCCCACCATGTCTCTGTCGCTCAAATCTAACCCCTATTTATTTGTGAGGTCACGAATAGACAAGAGACAAGCAGGCTGCACCGCAGAGGGTTGACTACAAGATGGCGCTCCAAGACAAAGAACGGAGTTAATTCCCAACAGAGCTACAGGGAACCTTAAACTGGTGTCTGCTCTGGTGGCTAAGTCTGCACACTGCACATCCATCTAATTATGAATTTAGAGATTTTTTAATATTATTTTAATTTTTTAAAAAATATATTGATTTTGATCTATGTTTTAATTGTTTTTAATATTAAATTTATATAATGTGTTTCAAATTATTGATTTTTAAAAATAGTTTTAGTTTGGTGAGCCTTGGGTTCCCTATGGGAGAAGGTGCTGCTCCAAGATAAGAAATTAGGTTTCTACGGCATTGAGGAAATTGCAGTAATCGGAATTCACTTTCTTTCAAGATTTAAAAGTTCATGTATTTAAATTATTTAAAATATTTGTACCCCACCGTTCTCCTTAAAAAAGGACCTAAGCTTACGTCCTTTAAAGACAACATCAAAAGCTGAAATCAGTGAGTATACATGGTGATTTACATCCTTAAAAGACAATGTTTAAAGTTAAGAATAATGAGTAGAAAACAGGCAGCTTACATAATTAAAGAAAAATATAGAGCTAAAACAAGTATACAAATATTAAAAAGGACCAAACGACCAGAGGGTAAACACTGAAGGAAAACTTGCCTAAAGAGAAAGTTTCATCCAGTCCTCCTTGCAACAAGAAAAAAGCCAAAAAAATATTCCTGCAGGCTCACCCTCGTAAAGGGAGCCCTTCTACCTCCTAATTTATGCACACACCACAGTTTCCACCACCCCCGCAAGTGTGTGAAGGGAAAACCTGGGAGACTCTCCAACTTTTCTCCTCCCTTCCTTTCAGCGAGAGACGTGTTGGGATTGACCTGGTCCATGATGAAGTCGAGAGGGAGCTGATCAAGGAAGTGGAGGTTTTCCAGGGGGTGATTGCTCTGCTGGAGCGCACCCTGGAGCAGGCCAGCGAGCAAATCAGGTACCGTGGCGAGGCCAGGAGCGAAGGTGCAGAGGGAAGTCCGTGTGCCTCCTGGGATAGCACACCCGAGTAATTGAAAAGCAGGCTGCCTATTTAGGCAGAGTGGCTCTCACAAGGAGATTTAACACTCAGGCCCATTTGTGGAGCTTGGAAGGGAGACGGGAGGGTCTCGGTGGAGCAATTCCTGGCACCTCTTTTGATCTACCCAGAACAGATCTCAGCCAGTGTGCCTGGACTGAGCTGCATATGGACAGCCTCATGACTACATAGTCCATGTGGCTAAGGCACAGGGAGCGCCTTTGGCAGCTTCTGATCTGGGATGTGCACACTCTTGCTGCAAGAACGCTGCTGTTGCATGCAATTTCTGCCCCAACGCTGGTGCCTTCTGAAACCGGCATCCTGTGCAATTCAGAACTTTGCATGTTTTTATTGCAAGCACTGTTTCTCTCATTTCAGGCTGAACCGCTCGGCCAAGTACAATCTGGAACAAGACCTGAAGGACAAGTTCACGGCCTTGACGATCGACCATTTTTGCTCCAGCCTTACCAACAACACGCCGGACCTCAGATACGCGCAAAACGTGGTGAAGGTGGAGGAAAAGTAAGTCTTGTAAACAGAGAAGACTGGGATGGGGAAAGCAGGAAGGCACACATACGGGGTTGCAAGCAAAGTCAGACGTTGGAACTCCCTGGTACAAGATGTTGGGAGAGCGGCCAACTTAGAAGGCTTTGAAGGGGGGAAAAGGCAAAACTATGGAAGATCAGGCCTTTGGGCACCAAAAGAAGTGCGGTGAAGAGCCTTGTGGGGCCTGATCTTCCCCTTGCTCTGGTGGTCTCCGTGGCAGTTCCGTGAGCCCCGAGGAGTGGGCGGATTTCTCCAACGCGAATGTGGAGAAGGCGGACAAGCAGCGGAACAACTCGCTGGCCCTCCGAGCCTTGATCGACAGCATCCTCTCCCAGACGGCCAGCGACATGCGCAAGCAGAACAAGACGGTCAACGTGGCCTTCCAGAACCAGGTCAAGGAGACCAAGGAGGCCAAGAACAAGTTGGAGAATCACCTGGACAAGGTAGTGCCCGGGCGGGTCGATTGGCCCAGGATTCCCCCATTCTGCCTGCTGCAGGTTTTTTCCAGGGATAGAGTCGTGGGGTGAGGAAGACTGCAGGGGTGAAGATGGGCCAGGCAAGGAGGGTCGGGCCATCCGTGGGTTTGGGTCATGGGGGTGTCTCTTTATGCCTGCAGCAATGAGACCCGACAGGCACACACACACACACACACACACCCATTATGTGTGTACCTGGCAGGTGATGCAAGAGATTAGCTCCCAGGAGAAGAACATAGAAACGCTGAAGAAAGCCATCATGGACAAGGAGGGGCCGGCCAAGGTGGCCCAGATGCGCTTGGAGGCCCGGACCCACCGCCCCAATGTGGAGCTCTGCCGGGACAAGGCACAAGCGTGGCTGCTGCGGGAGGCCCAGGAGATCAGCCGCAATGTCCAGAGGCAAGGAGGGCGGGGGGGTGTGTGGAATGGGCTGCTGCGGGAGGCCCAGGAGATCAGCCGTAATGTCCAGAGGCAAGGAGGGCGGGGGCTGAAATGGCTGGCCTGGAGCTCCTTGGATGGAGTGGAGGAGTGGCAGCAGGGTGTGTGTGGGCTGCTGCGGGAGGCCCAGGAGATCAGCCGTAATGTCCAGAGGCAAGGAGGGCGGGGGCTGAAATGGCTGGCCTGGAGCTCCTTGGATGGAGTGGAGGAGTGGCAGCAGGGTGTGTGTGGGGGGGTTGCTCTGGCCGGGAGCTCCCTGGATGGGGTGGGGAGTGGAGGAGTGGCAGCAGGGTGGGTGTGTGTGGGGTTGCTCTGTTGCAGCTCAGCCAGAGACTCCCTGAATTGGGGCCCTCTGCTCTTCCTATTTCCCCCTTATGTCTAGTGGGGCCAAACTCTGGCACAGAGCTCGGCATCTTGCTCTCTGCCAACTGCAGCAGACAAGGTCATTGAATGGTGACGCTGGGGCCTGGGGAAGAGGATGATCTTTCCAGGTGTGTCAGAACCTTGCAGAGGAGCTCCAGCAGGGTCTGCTAACCTTCCTCGTCCTCCTCCCTAGGCTGAAGGAGACCCTGGATCAGGCGGAAGCCGAGCTGAAAGGCCTGAACCGCCGCCAACTCTCCCTGGAGGAAGAGATCCAGGTCAAAGCCAACACTCTCTACATTGACGAGGTCCTCTGCATGCAAATGAGGGAGTCCATCAACGTCAACGACTATTGACTCCAAACTTTTACCCCCACCCCCCACCAGCAGGCCTGGTACCTCTGGAACCTCTTCTGCTGACCTATGCGATAATAAACCTGATTAAGTTCTGAAACCTCGGTGGGCCCAGTTTGTCAGATGCTCTGGGGGGGGGGCGGCTCCTCGAAACCCCCGGCCAGACTTCACCTGCTCCTCTCCTTCTACTAAAAGTTGTGTTCGGGGAGGGAGATTTGGGGCTCGTAGAAGTGGCCAGGTTCCAAGCTTCATTAGCCCGGGAGGGCCAAGCAGATGGGGGCAGGGCAGACGGAGCCCCAGCGCAGCGCAGTAACAAAGGCACAGGGCTCCCCACCTTAGTTCTCACTGCGACAACAGTGTGAGCTTTGCGCACTGCGCGTGTGCACTACCTGCATTCCATAGGTGGCTGTTGGCTGAACAACCCTTGTGGCCCCGGGGGGTGGAGCACTGGCAAGGGAGTGCTGTTCTGCCATGGATGGCTCCTCCCCCCCAACACACCTAGCAAATCACACGCACACTTTGTGATGTGTTCGCTGCTTATTTAGACCCTGTGCAAGTAAGTCACCGTTCAAGTGAAAACTTGCATCGGCCAATTTCAACGATGGGGCCAGAGCAAAGTGTGCCAGGTGTTCTTGCAAGGCGGGTAGGGTGTCCAGCAAGGGGCACTGGCTTCCCACCCCCCTCAAAAAAAGCCTGGGCACCTCCTGCAGCCCCCAGGAGCTCACAGCGGGAGGGAGGGACAAGCAGGCCACCCTCACCCACCTGCCCAGGCTGGGCATTGCGGGCTCCCTCTCACCCGCCAGCCCAGTTTCTAATCCACAAAACATTTTCACTTTTTCAGACCCTTGGAAAGAATTTCAAGAGGCCATTTGGTTGAAATAGAAAAATAAAGTTTAATTTCATTAAAAAACACTTTAAATACTTTTTAACCTTAGTGCACCAGAACCTTCTGTTCTCCTTGCGCCCAGAAACCCACCCCTGGGAAGAGTTCCCAAGCACGGCCCTGGAGCCACCAGGCTCTGGTTTGGTCTGGGGTCCGCGGACACGGATAACCTGCCAGGCGCCGCTTCATTCCATGCGCATCACACAGCCATGTTCCCTCCCACTCTCCCCCTCAGCAGGCACATCCAGACATTTACAGCATCCACACCTGGCATGCATACAATTCATCCAAAGCTTATACCTTTACTGTCTTCTTACAAACTTGACTACTAAGATAAATCCATAAAATCAACAGAAAGAACAACAAAGTCATCCATAAAACACACAAACAAGGGGGAAGGGGAGACAGGAAAGGGGGCAGCGTCTCTGTCGCCAGATGGTCTACAAAAATGGGGAGAGGGCTCCCTCTGCTCCTCCAAAAGTCTTGCCAGGATATCCCAAGGCGACATGAGCCCAGGAGTATTGGTCGACACCCCAGCGGCTCTTGGGGTTTCCAAATCCACCAGTCTGGATCTTGATGGGGTAAGTAAGGCACAATGACGGTGGCAGGAAAAAGCACAGCTAGCCAGCTCGTCCAGACTCTGGATCTTGAGAGAGAAGCAGGATGAACAGCCCGGGAGGGCTCAGGGAGAGGAATCCAACACACAAGGACTGTCCTCAGCAGGGGCCAGCCGGCCCCTCCCTCTCACATTCACACAAACATCTCAGGGCGCAGAAAGAAAGTGGAGGGATAGGATGTGGGGGTGGGAGTGAATAAAAGAGTAATCTACAGTAGTTTCCTCTTGTTCAGTTTCAGCATCTTCAAGTAATGTGGGATTATCTTCCATCTCTTCCCAGGGCTAGAAGCAGTGGTGTTGTCGAGAGCCCCTCACGCCTGCGGTGGTGGTGCCTCACGCAGGCAGCCCTGGGGTCTTTCAATAGCTCAATCCGGGGCGGCTCCGCTTCCGGCCCCGGGGCGAGCCGTCGGGACTATTTCTTCCTGACATGCTGCCTCCGGGCCTGCAGCCGTTGGCGAGCCCCTGTCCGGGAGCCGGAACCGATGGAGAAGGAGGGCGCCGACGTTTGGCCTGGGGGAACATGGGAGAGGCAAGGAGACCCTCGTCAGGGGGTGGGAGGCGGAGGCTGTGCTTCCCTGGGCTGAGGGGGCTGAGGGTGGCTGGGGGGGCGCGAGCTAGAGAGCATCAGAAACCCACAGCGTGCCCGTCACACCTCCTGCCCCTTCTCCAAAGGATGCCCAAGGAGCCCCCCCCTTCAGAGCTGCCCACCCGTGCTGGCTTTCCCAGCCCTTACCAAACGTGGGTCCCGAGGCGGTGAAGCTGGGGGCGCTGGCTGTCCGAAATGCGGAGGCGCCTGCAGTGTCGAAGGTCGGAGTATTGCCCGGCGTTTGCCCCCCCCCCTGAGGCGTGGCTCCGTCCGAAGTCTGGGCCTGGGCCAGCTGGAACAGAGAATGGGTGGCCATGAGGACCCAGTGTCCCTGGGGGGAAAGGGGTGGCAGGCAGCGTCCCCACGTCCCCATGCACCCTCCCAGAACCAATGGAGAAAGAAGGTGCCAACGTCTGGCCTAGGGGAACATGGGAGAGGCAAGGAGACCCTCGTCAGGGGGTGGGAGGTGGCGGCTGCGCTTCCCTGCCAACTGTGTCCCAAGTCCTTTCGCCCGCAAGGGAAGGAAACACAGGGACCCTCCCTGGGCTGAGGGTGGCTGGGGGGGGCGAGCTAGAGAGCATCACAAATCCACGGCGTGCCTGTCACACCTCCTGCCCCTTCTCCGAAGGAGGCCCAAGGAGCCCCCCCTTCAGAGCTGCCCACCCGTGCTGGCTTTCCCAGCCCTTACCAAACGTGGGTCCTGAGGCAGTGAAGCTGGGGGTGCTGTCTGTCCGAAAGTTGGGGGTGCTGTCTGTCCGAAAGTTGGGGGCGCCGTCTGTCCGAAAGTTGGAGGCGCCGTCTGTCCGAAAGTTGGGGGCGCTGTCTGTCCGAAAGTTGGAGGTGCTGTCTGTCCGGAAGTTGGGGGTGCTTGCTGTCCGAAAGTTGGAGGCGCCTGCAGTGTCGAAGGTTGGAGTATTGGCTGGTGTTGGCCCCCCCACTGCTGAATGGCTCCGTCCGAAGTCTGGGGCTGGGCCAGCTGGAACAGAGAACGGGCGGCCATGAGCACCCAGCGTCCCTGGGGGGAAAGGGGTGGCAGGCAGCGTCCCCACGTCCCCATGCACCCTTCCAGAACCAATAGAGAAAGAAGGTGCCGACGTTTGGCCAGGGGGGAGCCGTCGGGACTATTTCTTCCTGACATGCTGCCTCCGGGCCTGCAGCCGTTGGCGAGCCCCTGTCCGGGAGCCGGAACCGATGGAGAAGGAGGGCGCCGACGTTTGGCCTGGGGGAACATGGGAGAGGCAAGGAGACCCTCGTCAGGGGGTGGGAGGCGGAGGCTGCGCTTCCCTGGGCTGAGGGGGCTGAGGGTGGCTGGGGGGGCGCGAGCTAGAGAGCATCAGAAACCCACAGCGTGCCCGTCACACCTCCTGCCCCTTCTCCGAAGGAGGCCCAAGGAGCCCCCCCTTCAGAGCTGCCCACCCGTGCTGGCTTTCCCAGCCCTTACCAAACGTGGGTCCTGAGGCAGTGAAGCTGGGGGTGCTGTCTGTCCGAAAGTTGGGGGCGCCGTCTGTCCGAAAGTTGGAGGCGCCGTCTGTCCGAAAGTTGGGGGCGCTGTCTGTCCGAAAGTTGGAGGTGCTGTCTGTCCGGAAGTTGGGGGTGCTTGCTGTCCGAAAGTTGGAGGCGCCTGCAGTGTCGAAGGTCGGAGTATTGCCCGGCGTTTGCCCCCCCCCTGAGGGTTGGCTCCGTCCGAAGTCTGGGGCTGGGGCACCTGGAACACAGAACGGGCGGCCGTGAGGACCCGGCCTCCCCGGGGGGAAAGGGGTGGCAGGCCGCGTCCCAACGTCCCCATGCACCCTCCCTTCCAGAACGACAGGGCTGACGGAGCACCCACCCTGGCTGAGGAACCTGCGAAAGCAATGGCTTCTCGTCTGTCAGAAGACTCACCTCCGAACGCGGGCTTGGTCTCCGGCGCGCTTGGGGGGAGGCCGAAACCCTCAGGGCTCTGGGCTGGGGGCCCCAGGGTGTTTTGTCCCACCGAAGCTCCAAAGGGCGTGGCGGCCCCCGTGGCCCCACCGCCAAAGTGGAAGTTGACGCTGAGCATCCCTGGGTTGGGGGAGCTGCTGCTGGCCCCGGTATCCCCGCCAAAGGCAGTCCCTCCGGCAGCCGTCGGTGGCTGGTTCGACACCCCCGCTGAGCATCCCTGGGTTGGGGGAGCTGCGGCTGGCCCCGGTGTCCCCGCCAAAGGCAGTCCCTCCAGCAGCCGTCGGTGGCTGGTTCGAAACCCCAAAGGGGGAGGAGGAGGAGGAGGAAGGCATTGGCCCTCCAAAGTTGAAGCCCCCTGTGGTGGTGGTGGTGGTGGTGCTGCTGTTGCTGCCGCCGCCGGCGGAGACCTGAGCGCCAGAGCTAAAGCCCGAGGGGGCGGTCGTGGTGGTGGTGGCTGCCCCAAAGGGGGTGAGGGCCCCAAAGGAGGGCTGCGGGGTGCTCTTGGCGCCAAAAGAGGTCAGCGCCCCGGTCCCTCCAAAGGGGGCCTGCGAAGGGGTGATACTGCCGCCGCCGTCGCTGCCTCCCGCAAAGGCTGGCTGGACCTCCGATCCGGTGAAGGTCGAAGGGGACGCAAAGCCCACCAGCCCCGGGGCTGCCTTGAGGGCAGGGGCCTGACTACCAGGGACTCCCCCGTTTGCTGCCGAGGGCAACGCAAGCTTAGTGGCTGACACAAAGCCCCCAGCCGAGGTGGCGGGGCTGCCAGACGGTGGACCCGATCCAAAGGGAGACTGCGTCGTCATGGGCAGGGGGGCGGCGGGAGCCAGCAGGGAGCTCCCGGTGCTGAAGCTTGTGGTGACAACAGCGCCGGGAGCCCCCTCAGCTGCTCCGGGGGGTGCCTGGCCGAAGGCGGGACTTGCCAAGGGGCTAGGCCCTGCGTTCGGGGCACCGGCCAGGGTGCCAAACGGGTACAGGGGTGAGGCTGCTGCGCTGGCGCTGCCGGATGAGACCCCAAAGGGAGAAGGCTGGGAGGCTGAAGGACCCCCAAGGGATGAAGGGGCAGCTGCCACAGTGGTGGCAGGAGCCCCGGCCAGTAGGCTGGGGCCCAAACTGAACACTGGTTTGCTGGCAGAGATGGTCGTCACACTTACTGCCCCAGAGAGACTGGCGGAGGTGGAGGCGAAGCCCGCCGAGTGAGCAGAGAAACCAGGAAGGCCGCCGGCTGGCAGGCCAGCGGCGGCAGTCGGCTGAAGACTCGTCTGGAAAGCAAAAAGGGATGAAGTGCCAGCTACAGCCGGGCTGGTGGTGGAGGCTTGGGGTGGCAGTGCCCCAAAGATAGGTTTGAAGGCATAGCTGGGGGCGGCGGAAGGAGGCGCCCCGGTGGGCAGTGTCGCCCCAGGGGTGAAGGCCAGAACTCCGCTGCCAGAGAAGCCTGAGCTGTCGGTGTGGGTTAGAGTGCCAAAGACAGGGAGGAAGAGGGTCGTGCTGAGGCCAGAAGAGGTACCGGGAGCTGGGCTGGCCAAGGTGGCAGTGACGGCCATGGTAGGCGGGCTGCCCAGGGGGCTGGTGAGCATTCCGAACAGGATGCTGGGCTTGGGTGTGGCAGAGGGCCCGGTGGGGGTCTGGATCAGCTGAGAGAAAGAGGGCATCGCCAGGCTGCTTTCGCTCCCAGCTGGTGGGGCCGAGGCAAAAGGAAATGGTCCGGCCATCGGGGCAGTGGCCATCGGGGCAGCCAGTGCGCTGGAGGGGAGTGTCTGGGCAGCTGTGTCTGTCATCCAGGAGCTGATTGGCACCGGGGCGTTCCCGGGCAGAGAAGAAGTGAGTGGGGGCACCACCGGTCCCTGAGAAGTCTCGAAAGCAGCGGGAGTGCCTGGAACAGAAAGAGAGCAGGTCTCAGGAGAAGCTTCCTCCTGCCCAGCAGCCCCTCGGGAAGGGTCCCCGCTCAGCAGCCCCGGCGACGAGGGGAGGAGAGAGCCAGGGCTTTGCGTTCCTCCTGGCATGGCCAGTAAAAAAAACAAAGTCCGTCTCTCTCTCCTTCTCCCCTGCTAGGCACTCGCCACAACAGGGAGGAGGAGGAGGAGGAGGCTTCTCAAGGGCCTCCCGGCGGCCTGAGCCAAGCATTCGGGGCTCAACCGCTCACCTATCTGTCCTGAGAAGTCCTGTCTTTCCGGCGCGTCCCTCCGGCCCTCCTGCCCTGAGGTGCTGCCTCCCATGGCGGCAGAGCCATCGCTGGGGGCGGGCGCGCCATCCTCTGCAGGCGGGGGTGAATCTGTGGGATAGAAGCGGCAGGATGGCCAAGCAGGACGGGCTCCTTCGCAGACGACACCCAATCCTGCCCTCGGGAGAGCCCCAGCAGAACAGCCAGGCGGCACCCAAAGGCCCGACACAGAGACAGATCCGGTGGCTGGTTCCCTCCCCAGCGCTGCCATTCTGCGCATCCCATAAAGAGCAGCCTCCTTACCCTTTGAAGAGTCCAAGCCTCTCTTGAACTGCCTCAGCCTCTCCAGGCGGTCCGCGTCATAGTCGGCCCTGGTGATCTTGTAGCCCAGCTCAATCGGGGGTGGCTGTCGAGAGGAGAAGCATGGATGGGCCCGGTGGCTTCGGGCGGCCCGGCAGGAAAGGGCGACTGGTGCCCTCTCCACCTCTGGAAAGCCTCTGCCCGGGAGTCCTCTTGGGCCAAACACGTCTTGCACGGGCCACACCAGGAGCGATCCTGCCTGCCTGCACTCCCAGCCACTGTCAAGGGGTCTGGTGGCTTCGGCCCCCGCTCCAGGCAGGCCCACCCACGGCCCTGGTGCCTTCCTGAGGCTAGCAAGCGGGGGCGCTGAGCAGAAGAGACCTACCATGATCAAGGGCTCGTTCGGAGTAATGACCAGCTGGACCTTTCGCCTGCGGGCACCACCACTAGTGGTTGTGGTGCTGCTGCTGCTGCCTGAGACGGGAGCCGGGACGGAGACCGGAGGGGTATCCTGGTTCTGCACAGGTGCGTTAGGCACTGGAGGAGGAAAGGGCAAGTTCAGCTCCCAGAGGTGCCAGCTCCATGTGTCAAGAAGGCTTTGGCCCTCGGAGCCGCTCTGAAGATCCTTCCTGGCCCAGCAGGGGGAGCCCCTCTTCCTCCCGGCCCCCTCCAAGCTGCTTGGCAATGACTTTCAGCCAGGGAAAACAGTGCATGTGTTTTGGGGAAGAGGGAGGCCACAGAGGAAGTGCTCAGAGCCCTCTGGGGGGGCTCTCTCTGTCTCCAGCAAGGCTGCCGCCCCTTAAGAGTGGCTGGAAAGGCCCTTGGGCTCCAAATGGGTCCCGCTCCCCATCTGTAGGTTGAAGGCAACCTTGGGCACACACAGAATCAGTGCCTCCCAGAAAGAAGCACGTGGGCTGGAAGAGGGGGACCAGATGCGCCCGGCTGCACCTCGACCTCGCCTTCAGTGGAACACTGGCCAGCTTAAATGTG